GAGGTTAATATGTCTGACTGGACCCTACACCCTTCTTTCTAGATTATGCTCTGGGACCCAGAATCCTCTGCTCCAAATGGCTACACAACCACTTCTGGGGCCTTAGGCCTTTTTCCTGGACCCATCTTCTCAAGGGCAGACCACATGACAGACCACGGCCAAAGGCCAAAGGACAGCTGTAGTATTTACACATATTTTCATGGTCCTTCAAGATGCGGGACAAGGGGGAGTGGGAAGAAAGGGGGAGTAGTCTGTGACCAGGGCCAGTCCCCTGCTTTGCTTTGTTGGGTCACTGTGCTTATAGCAGTGGGCTTGGGTGTAATTCTCAGGTCATTGCACAGATTTCTCCAGCTGAATACATCGTGCTCATGTTAATGTGGGATTGGGACCACTCTGGATTAGAAATACGTTTCACTGTAAAGTAGCACACAAAATGAACAGAAAGGGAAAGCGTTAATAAGATTACTAGCAAGAGGGTGGATAAGCCCTATGAGATATAATTTCAGTCAGTCCTCATAACAACCCTGGGGGGTTTGATTGTGTCCCTTTAAGAATTAGGAAGTCTAGGCTTGGAAAAGTTGGGTTTGCCCCTGGTCTTATAGGAGGGCAGGGACAGCATCTTCATGACTCTACGGCCTACTCTGTCTTCATCCCACCTCTCCAGGGATCTAACTCAACACCTTCTGGGACATTGACCTCAACTAGTCTTTAAAGAGTAACCCACAGATGGATAGTTCCCTGTTTGTGGGTCTATGGCTACCCAAGAAAAATTGGTTCCAAGAGTTAGTGTCACAGATACTGATGTTCGCTACCTGGCAGTGTATAGGGACCAAGCTACAAAAAAAGCACAGTTCTTCTCAGCCTTGGCTCCAGCTAGTTAGCCAATGGGGGAAAAGAGGGGTTGCAAGCTTGTTTGTTGGAGGCTGGAGGACTGGGAGTTCCAAAGACCTTTGTTACATTCTAACCTTGCAGAGCTAAGCAATTTTGGGTTGCTTTTCTTGCTGATAACACTGTTTCCCTTACCTTCCTTAGAACAGATCTTAATAGAAAGCTCGCCTTCATGGTATAAGGTTAATGAATATGAAATCAAACAATAATAATATCTCTCTGGTGGATGGGATTTCTAAAGAACATATGTTATATACATATTTGAGGACAAGATGTAAGAGTTAACAGGGAATTAAAGTCCAGCTCTCCCTACCTGAGGGAACTGACTCCCAGAGACAGCAAGTGACTTAGTTACTTAATTAGAGTGAACCCAGATTTCCTGTATCTTTATCCACTATGCTTCCTCTACAACCTAAAATTCAGTTTATGGATGCACAAACCATTTTTGTATATTTTTAAAAATAATATTAAAGTCTAATCAAATGTGATAGGTGTAGGTACTACCCACAGAGATGTGGGAGGTGGGTGGCATTGTGTATAAGAGAAAAGGAAATCTAAATATTAGGTCTTTAATGAAGTAGTGCTCCCTGATCTTTCCATGGGCATGACTTCAAGACATTAGAAGTATATTGCTATAAAAGGGCCTCCCAAACATCTCCTTGGAAAAAAACAACATTAACAAACTTTTGTTCAGGGGAGAGAATTCCAATGCAAACCATTGGTCAAAGTTCTCTCTTTGTTACTAGTAAATACTTTAAGAACAGTATTTTGTCTAAATCAATAAAGATGAAAGAGGATGATGTAGGAGGTGGGAATCAGAGAAAATTCTAGTATTTTCTCAATATTCCAAAAACACGTATGGCTTTATTCAATTGCAAGGTAAACAGAATATGGAATTTACCAGAAAAAAAGTAAATAAAACTGGTGATGTCAGCTTTTCATATGCCAACTATTATGAATCAACGAGAATTAAAAGCAACAGAAGTAACATTTCCTTAAAAAATACATTTTCTTTTTTTTTTTCCAGAGTCCAAACTGAGGGTTCTAGAGGGGATGGGGGTGGGGGGATGGGTTAGCCTGGTGATGAGTATTAAAGAGGGCTCGTTCTGCGTGGAGCACTGGGTGTTATGCACAAACAATGAATCATGGAACACTACATCCAAAACTAATGATGTAATGTATGGTGATTAACATAACAATAAAAAATTTAAAGAAAAAAATACATTTTCTTATAAAAACTGGAAGAGAATTTGTGGCACTTTACCAACACTAAACTGTGTAAGAAACTACAGCGGGACTATAATGCTTTTTTAAATCCATTTGTCTAAAGAAATGAGAGATGGATCATATTTAATAAAGGTTAGATATGCTCACGTTATCTTCTTGGAATCATAATTTTATTACAATCAGATTTATTAAATGTTATCTGATTTTACTCTCATCTTAAAACATCTGCAAATGATATAATTTACCTGCGTATTTGGCATAACAACATGCTCTTCTTGATTTTTAACAGAACCTAGTTCAAGTGTTAATTGAATAAAGCCGTTCAAATGTAACTTTTAGGTCATGGCTTTGAGCACACTATACATGCAATAGTATCTGTCCAGCAAGTGTCAATTTTTCTTTATTTAAAAAAAAATCATATCATTTAAATAAGTTATTTACTATAAATAAAAGTTACACACAAACACATACCCATACATATATCTTTTTAAAGTAAAGCGAGATCTTAATCCACCCAAGACAAGCGGGAGCCGGAAAAAAAAAAAAAAATACGGCTGTGCGCATTCTGCCTGTTGCCGCAGAGTAATACGGTAAACAGCCGATTACCGTACTCGCTGGGGCAACTGCCTGTGTGACGTCAGCGAGAGCTAGCTGCAAAGTTCCTTGCCATTCTTTGCTGATGTCGGGGAGCTGAATATTTAAAGGATGAATGTGGAGTTATTGGTTGGCTATTGGATTTTTTTTTTCTTTTCCTATTTTCACTATTTTAAATTCTGCAGGTAAAGCGATAGTGAGCTGGGAGCTTAAAGACATCTGTGGTGGAGGGGTGAGTCAGCGGGTGCAGAAGAACTAAGAATTGGTTCCTCGGTGAGACGGTCGCCTCTTCCTCCAGAGAGGAGGCGGCAGGGCTGCTCGTGGGACCGAACTCCCGGTCCGCTCCCCGCTCCAGGTGAGTGCGCTTCGGCGCGGGACTCGGGGGTCCAGCAGGGCCGGGTGGGTGAAGGCACATCTCCCTTGCTTCCCCGTGAGCCGGATCCCGCACTTTCCCTAACGCCCCCCCCCCCCGCTTTTTTCACCCGCTGTGACAGCAGCATTCCCACCCCACCCTGTTTCCCTTATAGATTCTAGAAAGTTACCTCCTAGTTAACAAGTGTGTTTTTCAGCCCGTATTTATCGCCCCGTGGTAAAGAGGCTTTCTGCAGTTGCTTGCTTTTAGTACCACCTGTGAGCTCTTGCACTGGTGATTTTTCACAAGGGCCTTTGCCCCTAGGGTCCCGCCTCAGGGCCCCGCCCCCAGCCAGAGTCCTTAGAAGGCAAGATGGGTCCCCAGTCCTCGCATTCCTGCCTGAGTCCCTGTGGTCGCCTCGCGGGCCGTGGAAACCTAAGTTTCTCACACAGACCATGGCCCCCAGCCCAGAAAACCGAAGCGTCCCCCTTTCCGCTTGATTTTTAAGGCCACCAAAGCCGCAGTGACCGCCACTTGCAAAGCCCCTTCTGCAGAGTAGCGCTTGCCCTTCCCACCACGTCGCCTGCACCCGCGCAGCCCGTCCGGGTGTGGCTGGAGGCTCAAGTCCTCCGGCACCTCCGATCCTGCGGCTTGAAAAGGGCTCCTGGACCGACCTGGGTCGCGTTCAGCCCTCGGGCCCCGCCAGGCTTTGCTCGGGACCTGGCTCTCGAGCCGGCTTGGCTGGTCCACAGACCGGCGCGCACCGCACACCCGAGTGTGAATTCCTCCAGCGTGAACGTGCGCGTGGCACGGCCTCGTCTGCGGTCCCCGGGTCGCTGCGGTTCCCTCTCCCAGGCCGCCCCCTCCAGGTGGCTGCGATGCAACCTGTTCAAATGGCAACCGCCAGTTTTCACCGACTCGGCTCTGCGCGACACACACAAACGCACACACCAGCCGCAGTCCCGCCTAGCGAGCTTCGCGGGGTTTAATTTCGCTGCGCGGCCGCTCGTAATTGGCCGCCGCAGCTTGGGGTTTGTTTGCTTCGGATCTTGGAGCGGGCCAGAGGCCTCGGGCCGCGCGCCAGGGCAGGTTCCCAGCGGCACGGAGCCCGGCGCGCGGTCCGCTCGCGCGCCGCCTGTGCTGCGGCAGAGCACGCCGCTCCGGGACCGCAGAGTCGGCGGGGCCCCCAGCCGCCGCCCACGGTCCGTCGAGCCGGCTTTGGCCGCGCTCCCCGGGCCGTCTGCTATACACTCCGCCTTTCTCTTTGCGCTCTTTCAGGAGGACTCGGGCAAACAACGCCCCTCAGCCGCCTCGGTCCTGGCCAACATTTTATCCACTTCCCCCGGCCTGCGCGCAGAGAAGCTGGATCTAGCACGAATCCACCGCGGGCCACTCACCCTGTGGGTAACTGCGGGCCGGCAGAAGCGCCCAGATGCCAGCGGTCCCCGCCTTTGAGAGTCGACGGCAAACCGGTACTTGACTGTGGTTTGCGGGGAGACTGGCGCTGCACTGTTGAATTCCAAATTACGTGCAGAATGCTGAATCTTCTAAGCAGGACGGATCAGACAGTACGCAGAAGCGGGCCCCGGTAATTCTGCGACTGCGTTTTGCCAACGTGCCTCCTCCAGCTTCGCACCAAGCCTCGGGTAGGAAGGGAGTTGGGGCCGCAGGCCAGCGCAACCGGTGGATAGGGTCCGCGTGTAGCCCCGCGCGCCCCTGGCCATGTCGCCTTTAACGCCCTGCCCCTCTGCGTGGCTTTCTGAGGGTTTGCACGGCAGGCCGGGGCTGCTTCCCACCCGCGCGCTCTCTCTCACCCCCAGCTAACCCCAACGGGCAAGGCTCCCCCGAGCCGAGACCTTTTGATTCTGCTCCCTCGCTTCCGCCTCCGCCCTCGCCCGGGGGTGGCTCTCGAGAGCCGGACCTCGCCGGCCCCGGCTGGGACCATGGTGTTTCTCTCTGGAAATGCCTCCGACAGTTCCAACTGCACCCACCCGCCCGCACCGGTGAACATATCCAAGGCCATTCTGCTCGGGGTGATCTTGGGGGGCCTCATCATTTTCGGTGTGCTGGGCAACATCCTCGTGATCCTCTCCGTGGCCTGCCACCGGCATCTGCACTCGGTCACTCACTACTACATCGTCAACCTGGCGGTGGCCGACCTACTACTCACCTCCACCGTGCTGCCCTTCTCAGCTATCTTCGAGATCCTGGGCTACTGGGCCTTTGGAAGGGTCTTCTGCAACATCTGGGCGGCGGTGGACGTCCTGTGCTGCACCGCGTCCATCATGGGACTCTGCATCATCTCCATCGACCGCTATATAGGTGTGAGCTACCCGCTGCGCTACCCCACCATCGTCACCCAGAAGAGGGGTCTCATGGCTCTGCTCTGTGTCTGGGCCCTCTCCCTCGTCATCTCCATCGGGCCGCTCTTTGGCTGGAGGCAGCCGGCCCCGGAGGACGAGACCATCTGCCACATCACGGAGGAGCCCGGCTACGTGCTCTTCTCGGCGCTGGGCTCCTTCTACGTGCCACTGACCATCATCCTGGTCATGTACTGCCGGGTCTACGTGGTGGCCAAGAGGGAAAGCAGGGGCCTCAAGTCTGGCCTCAAGACCGACAAGTCGGACTCGGAGCAGGTGACGCTCCGCATCCATCGGAAAAATGTCCCCGTAGGAGGCACCGGGGTGGCCAGCGCCAAGAACAAGACGCACTTCTCCGTGAGGCTCCTCAAGTTTTCCCGGGAGAAGAAAGCGGCCAAAACACTGGGCATCGTGGTCGGCTGCTTCGTCCTCTGCTGGCTGCCTTTTTTCTTGGTGATGCCCATTGGTAAGTCTTTAAACACCTGACCTTGGTATTTAGGGATCTTCATCCTGTTCCCCTCTGCCACCCCAGACTCACAGTCGGGGTGGGGGGGGCGGGGGGGTGTGGGGAAGAAAAAGGATCTGCATTTCAAACAGCAAAGCGCGGGGGGCGGGGGGGGGGCAGTTAGGAAAATGCTCCTTTATAGAAGAGTGAATTTTAGTTCCCTTTCTTCTCCCAGTTTCATTTATATTATTATGTCCTAGGGCACTTTTTCAACTACTGTAAAGTAGCTTCCAACAGATTAATCGGTCTCCTTAATAAGAACGTCAACTTTTCTTAATGCCGTTAAGCTTGTGTTTAATTTAAATAGATCCCTCTTCTTTGGAGTCTCAGAGTCTCCAGCACACACTTGGGCAGGGGCTGTGGAATGCCACTTTTCGCCTCTGCTGCTATGGACTGCAAATTCTCTTGGCCTAAAAATAAGCACCATACTTATTCTGAACAAATGTGTAATTTTATTATTAGATTAGATTATTCCTAAGGGTTAGTCATAATGGTCTGCTTATGTTCTATATCTGTGTTAATTTTGTTTTCTGGTTTCAGTATGGAAGAAAGTGTGGCCAGCCACTGACAAGAAAAAAAAAAAAGATGATTTTATGTCCAAACGAATTTAAGCTTTAAAGAATTCAACATAATGTTTCCAATAAGTGATACTTTCCCCTTTATTTTAATAGTATTAAAACAAACGGTACTCTTATCCAAGATCATTCTGGAAGTTGCAGATGACACTGTTTGAAAATAATACAGTAATGTTACAAATCCAACTTTTGCAAATGCCATATTAGCTATTGTCAAAGCTAATTAGCTCATTGTAAGTATCAGCAAGCTGCTCCACTTGGAATAGTCATCTATCTCTGAAAGGCCTTCATGAGATCCCAAAATGGTTGCTTGCTATTTTTAGTTTGTGAGCTCAAATATAGACCCACACATTTGTCCACTAACTCTACCAAACAAAAAAATTGATGATAAAAATTAATAAAAGTTCGTTTCAGGCACTTCAGAGCCAAATTTAAGCAGCGTGCATTGAAAGTACTTTAATTTGCAACTCTGTGTCATAATAGCAGCTATTCGTTTTTGAGGGCGAACTCAAAACTTCATTTGTCCAGGCTCTTTCTCGCATTCATCCTCTCCACAACTCAGTGAGGAATGCATTATTATTCTGAAATCCCAAACTGGGGTGGGGGGAGATTCTGCAGGTTCTAGAGCTTCGCTAATACCATAGCCACCAGCCACATGTGGCTATTTAATGCAAATTAAAGTTCAAGATAATTAATATCCAGTCCCTCATTCCCACTAGCCAAAGTTCAAGTGCTCAATAGCCACACGTGGCCACTGGCTACTGCTGGGGACAGCAGAGATAGTGTGCATTTTCATCGTTGCAGAAATTTCTATCTAACGGGGCTGCTTGAGAGGCCCTCTGAGTCCACTAAGCTGGCTTTCGATTGTGCCTGCCCATCGTTATTGCTGACTCTGTCCCTGGAAGTACATCACAGCTTGGAATTTATTTAAATAACACTCTTGCCTGAAGCACGGCTTCCCTACCTTTCTGTGTCCCGTCTCTTACTTCCTCCTGAAGCTTATTCGTGCATCCATGCCCTCATCAAGTATGTATGGAGCACTTGTTCTACGCATATAGGCTGAACAAGGCAACAAACTCTATACCAGTAAAATGTTCGCATTCTTTTAGGGGAAATGGACAAACAAATATATCTCAAGAAGTCAAGGATTACTAAGTATTATTGAAAAAGTAAACCGGTTAAGAGGATAAAGATTTGCAGGGCAGTGGGCTGGGTGGTCAGAGGAGTTCTCTCTGAAGAGGTGATATTGGAGCAGACCTAACTGAAGTGAGGAGTAAACGTTGCCAAGTCCAGAAGGGCCTTTTGGGTAGAGGGACGGCAAGTCCAGAGATGGGAAATAGCCTGACCTGTTCAAGGCAGAGCAAAGAGGCCAGAGTGGCTGAACTACAGAGAATGCATGGGCAGACAGGTTCAAAAACGGGTTGTGGAGACAGACTAGGTCAGAGTGATGTGGGTCTTTTAGGCCCAAGTAGAATTTGCATATTATTCCAATTGCCATGGGAAGCCATCCAGACAGGTTTTAGGAGGGGAGTGGCTGGTTTTATATTTTTAAAGGATCACTCTGGTTGCTGGGTGGAGTGTGGGCTGTTTGGGGAGATGACTGTGGAAGCAGGGAAACCGGTTGGGAGGCTGTTAGAGCAGCCAAGGGTGGAAAGGTCGTGGTGCCTAGCGCTTGGGTGAAACACGTGGGGGTGGTGAGAAGTGATCACGCTCAGCACTTATTTCACAGGTGGAACTGACACGTTTGCACATAGGGTATGAGAAAAAAAGAGAGGAATTAAAGATAACTTCTGGGTCTGGGGCCTAAGCCCCTGGGCAAACAGTAGTGCATTTGGCTGAGACTGGGAAAACTAGAGAATGAAGGAGTCGTTAGGGGCTGGCAGGAGCAGAAGCACACGTATTTATTTTGTGTAGCCACGCTGAGTAGTGTCTGTTCAACATCTAAGTAGAGATGCCAAGTGGCAGTTAGATACATGCGTTCAGAGCTGCAAGGGGCTGCTGGGCTACCATGTAACCTGGGGACAGACACATCAACATATTCAAAGCCACAGAAGTGGACAGATCTACAAGGGAGGACATACGGAGAGAAAAGAGAGATAAGAACTGAACCTGGCGCATTCTGGCATTCGAGGGCCGGGGAGAGGAGGAGAACCAACTAGCAGAAGAAGTTGAGAAGGAGTGACCAGGGAGGAAGGAGGAAAACCAGGAGACTGCGTTGTTCCCAAAGCCAAATGGAAATGTTTCGAGAAGGCAAGAGTATTCAGCTGTGTCACAGGCTACTGCTTGGCCGAGTCAGAGGAGGGCTGGGAATCAACATTGGACTTGGCCATGTGGAGGATGTCCGTTGAGGATAATAGTCTCATGGAATGAGGGAGACAAAAGCCTGACTGTGTGCTTCCTAGAAAGAATAAAAGATGAGGAAGCGGGAACAGTGAAAAGAGACAACTCTTGGGAAAGGTTTTCCTAGACAGTGGAGCAGGGAAATAGAGGAGAGCCAGAAGGATCTAAAGAGAGAATTTCCCAAAGTGGGAGATAGGATACCACGTTTATATTCTGAGGGAACGATGGAATAGAGTTGCTGATGGTATAGGCCCGGGAGGAGGTGGGATTCAGTGCCCAAGTGGAGTGCTGGGAAGTGAGGGAGAAGCCAGGGACTATTAAAGGACAGAGGCAAGCAGATATGGAGAGGAGAGGCAATCAGCTCTTCAGAATATATTTATGCCTTTGACCTAATGAAAAGCAAGATCATCAGCTACAAGTGAGGAAGGAATAGGAAATGATGCTGGTTTGACGAGCAAAAGAAGATGCGAAATACTAATCGTTGAGGCGAGGAGTAAATAGATTATGGAAATTTAGTGGAGTCACCAGAAAGTCCTAAGGACATATTTGAGATTTATAGTCATAAGTTGAAAGACCAGTCAAGAAGTTGTGTGTTACTCTCTAATAGCTAAGAGGCTGAGGATTATGGGGAATGTTGCTGATGATTGACCATACCTTAGGCACCACAGTAAAGACATGTTTATGCAGGGACATAAACTGGAACAGATTAGGAGTCATACAGATTCAGATAGTAGACAAAAGGGAACTCTGGTCTAACCAGGGCCTACCTCCTGTATCTGCTCTCCTGGGGAATTATTAACATTGAGGTGAAAGGTTACAGTGGCAGGAAGTCGTGGTAAGACAGGAGCACCCAGAATCACTGGGCCTCCTTTAAATCCTAATAATGCAGTGCAGCAGGAGGGAAATTGAAAATGTACAGTTGGCAGTCTGACCAGGCTGCTCGGTCGGCAAAAGGTCCCTCAACATACCAGGATCTGTGGTCCACAGTGTCTTCATGCCACCACGTGAGCAAGAGCCTATTTCTTCCAGGATTTATTGACTGTATAGTAAGTACCAGGCACTGAGTTAGAACAAAAAGATGAATAAAGCACATTCCCTGCCCTCAAGGGCGTCACAGTCTAGTTAAGGAAACAAATTAGGAACAATTATCACAAGTCTATGAAGTGGTATTAGAAGTGCGAAGGAATATCACAGTTAACTGTGTCTGGGGGCACTGTGGAAACTTCTAGATGTACCACTGTTGACTGAGCAGGGACTTGAAGCCTGCACTGCTTCTGCTGGGCCATCAGTGAGATGTTATTTGTTTTTAGTAACTGTCTTAGGTACATTTTTCATGCAAAATGTGAACAGGAAGAATAAATGGGCCATTAGATTATCATATACAATGGACACAAGCTCTTATGTATGACAAGTACTTCTTGGGAAGAAGAGATTATCAGTCTGAGCTAGGCTGTCAGAGAACAGCAGGGTTAGAAACTAAGGAAGGGATGTGTGTGGTATACAAAGCTGAGAAGAAAGCGCCCACACGTGTAGGAACTGGCCCAGGATAGTGAGTGAGCACTCCTTCATGGCCGAGGGCCGCCCTTCTGCCCTGTGAGAGGGCTCCTCACTGCCTCCACACTTCCTTCCTCCCCAGCTCTTCCCATCAAGGCTAGGTTGGTTGCTAGACTCGACTGAATAGTGTGATTGCTGGTAGAAATCTGACTTGCCCACCCTCAAGTCTTGTTTTCTTTTTGCATCCTCATCGTTTGGCTGAAAGTCAGAACCCCTTGTAGGGAGGGGTGTCACCTCTGAGGCTGTTATCAGTCATTGATACCTTGGAGTGAATGTTTTGAAAAGCCAGGTTTTGATCATGGAGCTGAACAGGGAGAATAGAAAGGTGAAAAATGTGTCTCGGGGGGAGCTTCAGCACCTAAAGCATGTACGTCATCTTTGCTTACTTTATCCCTTGGTCTAGAGCCTGCCAGTTCCAGAGTCATCGGGCTGAGTGGGAAAAGTCGTGGCCTGAGATTGAAAGCTAGGCTTTCTTTTTCATAAAATAGGACG